CTAATATTGGTTTCTGCAGCAGCTTAACTTCTCGGATCAGGTCCGCACCTTTATCCGGTCCTCTTGCAGAATAAACCGTCACATGTTTGTTCCTTATAAAATGTTTAGCTGAAAAGTGAAAACTTATTACTGAAGCAAGCTTGCATTATTGCATTACATGTATAGTATAATAACTATTTCAAAGTAGAAATGAATCATTATAATCATTGTAGTTAAATCAAAAATGTTATTATGAATTTCATTGGTAATTACTGATTGAAATTGCATTGTATTTGCATAATCATGGATTTTCCTACCACACTAGCATCTGATGCCATGAACCCTAAGTGTCAAGTCCAGGGCAATTGCATCTGAGGGGCATCATAGTACTCAGAATGGTACAGGACTGGATCAAGGTATGATGCTCTTTGTGTTAAAATATCAGTCGTGGTATACTCCCTGACTTGTAAATAATTGTTTAGGAATAGAAAAGTTACAGTTTTCACAAACATCGAAAGGTGTTTTTATGATAGTTCTGAGGCTCCATATCCAAATCTCAATTTATCTGGGTTTGAACATTTTTCGTACTTTTCCAGGGCCTTTTGTGCCCCTTTGTACCACAAGTGACCAAATTATGGTTAGCCAACCAAAGTTAGGGTTAGGGTTAGAAAGGTTGTGGCTTTTACAGATTTCCAAACATGTTTTTATGACTGTTATTTGGCCCCGTGTCCAGGGAAACCATGATTTAGCTGGATTTTGTAACACATTACATACTTTTCAAGGGCCTGCTGTGTAATCCTATTTCAAAACATTTAAAGTTAGCCAACCAAAGCTAAAGTAAGGGTCAGAAAGGATATAGCTTTTACAAATTTTCCATATGTTTTTATGTAAAAGTACTATGGCCCTGTATCAAGGGAAACCACAAATTAGCTTGGCTTTGATAACATTTGTCATATTTTCCAAGTAAGTGTTGTATAAACCTAAGTCCCCAAACTAGGGTTAGCCAACCAAAGCTAGTGTCACGCCCAGCTCATACGATCCTCCTGTGTGCCACGGCCCCCTCATTAACCTCATGTGAAACCCCAATGTTATCAGATGTTTCTTGTTGTTTCATTAAGTCCTGTGTATTTAAGTCCACATCAGAGTATGTATCCCCAGTTCCGTCATTAATGTCATGTGCCTGGTTATGCCCTGTCTGCTCGTGTCTTCTAATAAACCCCGTATTCCTGAAGCTCCTTGACCCGGATCCTGATTGTCCGTTCCCTGCTCTGCCTGCCATCATGACAGCTAGGGTTAGGGTTAGAAAGGTTACGACTTTTACAGACATGCAAGGATGTGACCAGGGAAACCACAATTTAGCTGGGTTTCATAACATTTTTCATATTTCACAAAGGCCTGTTCTGCAACCCTATTTCCCCAAATTATCTAACCACATTTAAGGTTAAGGATAGAAAGCTTATGGCTGTTACAGATCTCCACATGAGTTCTTATGATAGTTCTTTGGTCCTGTATCCTGGGAAACCACAATTTAGCTGGGTTTGATAATAAGTATAAGTCCCCAAATTAGGGTTACCCAACAAAAGCTAGGGTTAAATGCTTTTACTGTTTCTGGGTCTGAGGATGTCATCTCCACAACAAATGTTCCTGAAACAGGGTTTGGATGCCAGACTGATCTGACTCTGCATTATATTTGATAGTTGGAGGACCTCCTTAGAGGGTTGGATGTAGATTAACGTCATACACAGGATGAAGCAATTGCTTGCCTTGCTCAAGGGCCCAACAGAGTTGAATCACTCTGGGCCATCACGAGATTTGGAAATTAGCAGAACATTTTAAAATGAATTTGAGAAAGCACTTCTTTACACAATGTGTAAAGGGTATGGAATAGTCTTCCTACTAGTGTAGCGCAAGCTAAAACCCTGGGTTCCTTTAAATCAGAGCTAGATAAGATTTTAACAACTCTGAGATATTAGTTATGCTCTCCCCAAATGAGCTTGATGGGCCGAATGGCCTCCTCTCGTTTTTAAATTTCTTATGTTCTAACCAGCAGCCTTTCAGTTGCTGACACAGAGCCACCACTACGTCCAATGAGACCAAGACCGCAAAAAAGTGGTCTTAAGACTGGTCTCGAGTACTACAACACAACTGTTACATTTTGTGGTCTGCCACTTCATGGTTGAATTTCTGTTGTTCCTAAACACTTCCAGTTTTTAATAATATCACTTAAAGTTGACCATCTCTAGTAGAGATGAAATTTCACAAACTAACTTATTGCAAAGTTGACATCATATGACAGTACCAGGCTTGAATTCACTGAGCTCTTCAGAACGACTCATTCTTTCATAAATGTTTGTAAACCTGACTGCATGGCTAGGTGCTTGATTTCATACACTTGTGCCAATGGGTCAGAATGAAATAGCTGAATTCAGTAACTGAGATGTGTGTTCCATTACTTTTGCCCATATAGTGTATCTTTCAGGCTAATTATCTGAAAGTATCGCCAACTCCAAATCCTGTAGTATGAAATGTTTTGTGACCCAATTGCAATTGGCAATGAGTTACAGCCAATGAAAATGCAAGACACAGGGGGGAGAGGTGTAAAAAGTTCAATTAGTTTAGTAACTATTCAATAAAAGTTTACTGTTGGCGTCACTGTTATTTGTGGCTTATTTATGCATGTATATATCTTATGTATACAAGGGTTAATTTGCCACAGATCTGTAAATGAAGATCATATGTTGTAATTTGATGAAAGTGTTTTATTGATTTCTAGCATGTTGACACTAATGGGAGAACTGTCATTTCCCAGTTCTCACGTATGTTTTAATGACAAAACATAGTCTGGAGACAGACTTCTTGGGGATTCCCCCTGTTGAAAGATCTTGTAGTGTTACCTCCTATTGCTGATTATTGTAGTGTGTAAACCACAACTTCAAGATTCTCGATTACAAGATTAGTTGAGTAGTGTGACTGGTACAGTGACCTAATGACCTTGAAAGTCATGTAGTGTGAACTTAGAATTACAGGATTTAAAGGATCTTGCTGCTAGCGACTTGGTACCAAATACCACAGGACACCTTACAGGTCTTGTGAAATCTATACCGGGATGGATCAGAGCTGTTCTAGTGGCACAAGGGGGACCTACACAATATTATGCAGGAGGTTTTAAAACATACGCAAATCATTGCAGACATTTTTGTGTTTTTTTTTTTGTTTAAATTGATATTTTAACAACATTTTTTAAACTAAATCTTAGGTGAAAGTCACCACCCCTAAGATTTATAAATGAACTGATTTTTCTCCACCCCAACTGCATACAATGACAGTTTAAATTAAATGAGCTTACTTGGATTAACTTCACTGTCATTAACTTTTTGCTTGTTCATCCCACTTACCCACTTAAACCAACGATGAACAGTAAACACATTAAACATAATGCAGATGAAATATACGAGTGTATATTTAAAAAAAAAAAAACAAACTCACAAGGCCTACCTCAGGAAGTACAAGCCTATAGGAAAACATTGAATAAGATGCCAGCCCAGTGCATGGCACTTAGGTACATGTCATGTTTGCAAAACTGACAACATCATATACAAGAATTTTCAGTGGCATAGTCTTTCTGAAGAGTGAGATAGACGCTGCACCCAACTATGACTGGACTGGTTTACTGATGGAGCTAAATGGTCCCAAATAAGCAACAGCTTGAATGGAACTTCAGGGACCCGAGATATATGACCTTTTCCTTCAGCAACCAAAAAATTGAAACCTTAACAAATTAAAAATCAGCAGGCGTTAAAAATATTAAGAATACTCTTAATTATATTCAACATATAAACATGAAAGATTTAACATTAAAGCAAAAGGAGCTATTGAATGAGAACAGAAAGCAAACTTGACAAGTTACGATGCCTGTGGCCGTTTACACACAGACTGTAAGGTGGCTTTTCTACTTTGGTCACTTCTTTGAGCATAAGGTTCACTAGGCCCGCTTACTTGAACATTTTCTTCTATGTATCGTCAGTTTGCAATACAAACTGAACATATCTGTAAGTTTTAGTTTTAGCCAGCGAGATGGTCATGCTACCGTCACGTTTGACTGTGGTTTGGCAAAGCTGAGGGTACTGGAACACTTGGTGTAATGACAGCACTTTTTTGAATCCAGCAATCCGAGTTTCACCATCAGTGGGACCTTGTGTTGCCCTGAAGGTTTGGCCAGGCTTTCCCCCATTGCAAAGGGTTAGCCTTGCAGCACTTCCCCGTGGGTTTCTTCTAGATGTCGCATTTCACTTGAACTCATGTCTACAAGCATGTAGAACTTGTTCATTTTGTGAATCTGATCTAATTCCCTGTTTTAGTCCAGTTTTTAGTATTGGCCTGTTGAAATAAAATGTCCCTTGTGCATGTTATTATTTACATTGCCCTGTATACATCCAGATTATGAAAAACAGTATATTTCAGCAAATTATTTCAAATATAAATCAACACTTTGGGTTTTATTCAAAGTATATGACTGATGATGCAAACCACATTAATTCTGCAGTGGTTTATTGAACATCTGGAATGTTCTGTAGTTCCAGCTATCTATAACAATGCCCCATGTATTGACGGCAAAATATTTTTTTACATAGAACTGCTTTTGCCTAGAACTTCAGCAACTTAGACATGTCTAAAGGCTCGCGTGACCTAAAGTATATGTCTTATCAAAAATAGAAGGTAATCTTTCTTACGAGTATTTTCTAAAGGAGTCAAGACTAACTGTTGTCCTCCCTGAAGATGAACTTGCATATTAATCAGTTCTCTGCATCTTTGAATGAGAGATAACATTTTACAAAAGAATCACGGATAAGGATCATTCTGGGGTCGGTAACTATTTCTAGAATTCCTCCATTCAGTCTCAGAGCAACCTAGATTAGTACAGCAGAACAGCTAATTAAATGAATGATGTGGAAGTCAATACCCTTCCTGGCCCTCTGAAAAGTATTTCTCAAACATTGATGTACAGAGCGTGGCATAGCAGCTTTTTAAACAGTCCTGTTAAACATTTATTTACAATTATCAAAACCCATTTAAAATGTTCAAATAATGATGGACTTACTGTAAATGTAGCTAAGCAGTCATTACAGTAATTCAAACAATCAAGGAAGTTTTGTTGTAATACAAATAATTATTTGTTGTCATGTTTACACCTAGTATTGGTTCAGAAAAAACAGGTGAAATTAATTTCAAAACAAAACATGAGAAACATTTTCACAAAATACTGGAAATGGCTGATCTTCACAAGTGCATTCGACTTAATTTCCTAGGTTTGTAGTACTGAAACTGATTTAGACACGTCCATTGCTTAAATGTGGCTAGCAAAGCTTCTGGAGTTTCTCTACAACAAAACCAGAGAAGTTTAAAGAGGTAGTAAAAAATCTGCATAACATGTAATAGTTTAGAGCAACAAGTTAATACTTTTTATACCAAGTTAAAACCCAGTCAAAACGTTTTTTGAGTAGTGAATTAAGAACTACAACATTATAATCGCTCACCAAAAAAAAAACAAATTAACATCCATTGTCAACATGGTTTTTTAGCTATCAATTAAACTTTATACCTAATTTACACACCATGTGACCATAATTAATGCTGAAACATTCACTCAAAACATACATGTGATAAAACTGTGGCTACAGAAATTGTAAATATCAAAAGCATTAAAATACAAAAAAATGATGTTACAATTTGGTGTCTCTTTCCCTCACAAGCATGTACCTGTGAAAAATATATGTAGCCATTTAAATTCAAATATTTATAAGGCACTATTTTAAGGAGACCAAATTAACTTTTTTTTTTTTTTACATATTCATGCATTCATTGAAACATAATTATAAGATGACATGGTGGATAGGTATTGGAAATTAGCTACAAGTCTCTTCTTACTTAATAGTGTATTTTTCAATGCATACTTTTACCTGTCATTTCAAGAAAAAAATAAAACAGGCAGTTTACTGAATGTTAAACCTGTAAAACTACCATACTTTCCCAAAGTGTGGAGAAATATACATCTGAATCGAATGATTACTTGCCACATAGTGCTATTAATACTACCCAAAAGAAAGGTGTTATTTTTATTACATGGAATATTTGACCCCAGTTAAACTGAGCGATCAATTTTAATTTCAAGCCCATCGAAAAAACATGAGGTTAAAATTTTTTACCCTGTTTACAATTAAAAGATGTATTATAACGTAGGGTGGCTCAAAAGTAGGTTTACAGTAATATCACTTTAAGTGCACAACATTTGTATAAGGATTGTAATGTTCATGATCTCACGCTTATGTTTACCATTTAATTTCCTACTTTTCAATTTCTAAAACACTGTTATGGTAGAAATTTTTTTATTTCAATTTTAATGTGTGCATGGTTTAACTCTTTAATAAAGTTATTCAGAAAACAACAACAGTTTAACTGCTACTCTACTTTTGAGCCATCCTGTATGGCATAGTATATGCGATACGTATAATATAATTTAGGAGCATGGATGCCCCAGGATTGTCAGGTGATGAGCAATTCCGTCACCTAACCACATATAAAATAACATAAAATAAAAATACCTTTGTTGATGTTACCTCTGTAGTCCCAATGCCCATCTACTAGACTCCTTTTGCAGAATGTAAAACAGCTTTTCTATTTGTAACCAAACCCCAAAAATGCCAAATTATGTCCCCCCTCCATCTCCCATCCCTGCACCTTGGGGCGTGTAGCCCCCAACCAAAACAAGTCTCATTAAACCTGGGACATCCATTCCTCCCTATCTTACAGTATTTACATTTATATATTTCACTTTGTTGTTGTTAATATGCCTAAATGATTAAATACTTCAAATTGAAGCGGCAAATATGTTATATATAATAAGGCTAATGGGATACAATTACCTGTATAAATAACCTTCATTTCTGTAATTTCAAAAATTTAATCAAAAAATTAGGATGACGGTTTATAAGATTACAACATCATGTGGCTCTTAAATTAAAAGCATATTTACAATAAAGTGAATATATTTGCCTTACGAAACATGAAACATACATCTGAAGTAACAAAATATAAAAAAATAAATACAAATTTTGCATTACTAACATCACATTTGGGTTAGTTTAGAATTACAGGTGCTGACAACATAACAGACAACACACAGCATTACAGAAAAAGATCATGGCACAAAGAAATGTCAGACAATGTTTTGCTTGAATATTTTGAATAAAACAAATCCCCAGTTCATCTTGGATAACTGCTGACATACAGCATGTGACCATTCTTAATATTCCAAAGAAATATTAAACACTGTCACTTCTAGAAGAAAATAAGAGAACTTTTCCTGGTGCAACTGTGCTGCATCCATTTGCTTTCAAACACATGGTCGGCAGGTGTGAGAGCTTCTTAAACACATTCATTTTAAGATTCAAGTAAAGAGATTCGGCTGAGAAGGTGACGCCTTGGTAATATATTACAGGCAAACTGCAATAAATTATAAATTATAGTGAAATTCCCAGGCCATGTTTCCTGTTGCATTTCCATCACTTCTGAAATTGTATCGTGGTCAGGTTTGTAATTGCAGCTCACACTCAAAAAGATACCTGCACTCATCCACACGTATGAAGCACTATCACCTTTCATGATTTCTTTCAAATTTTTACATTTATTTACTATTTACCCAGGTTGTTTTGCTGCCAAAATGCTTTCTGTAACTGGCGCAAAGATTTTAGAAATCGCTCAAGTTTTTTCCTTTTGAATTTGGACACAAGTTTAGAAATAATAATAATAATACATTTTATTTTTGGGCGCCTTTCAAAAACCCAAGGACACCTTACAGAGCATAAATTGCTCCTATTCTTCAGATGCTAATTAAGTGTTGGGCTTACAAATGGATCAGTAAGTTTCCCTGCAGGAACAATAACTGCCTTTAATGGCAGTAATATCAGTCACAAGAACATCACACATCCTTTATAAATGTGTAGAGTGGAACATGTTTCTGGGAAGTTCAACATTCTAATTTGTCCCTAGTTTAGCCTAAATGCAGTCTAAGTTAGACACCACCACTATCATCCTTGAGATGACACAGACCTGAAGCATTTGTACTCATAAAATATACTATTACTAGAAGCTAGGGAAAATTATAAATAAGATTTGTTTAATAAAAAAAGACTTTAAATAACCTTAAAATGCTGTTAGTGTTAACTAATAATGAAAAATGTTTAAAACTGTTAATGTGAATAAAAATGTATTCACATTTAGTTGTGGCATTGCGAACAACAGGCAGGAACCTGAGAAGAAAAAAGAAAGGTTTTGTCTAAATTGGGCCACTAACTAATTAAATGTTCACATTATGATTCGCCATTATTTTCAGGGTATAATAATTGCATACAAATTTTTGTCATTTAAGTCATATTAAAAATGGTCATATCTTCTAACTTAAGGCATATATAAGGGATTAAGGGTGTTAGACATCTAAACATGCTGCCTTTGTCAAGGATCTAATAAATGAGTAAACAAACATCGCTAACAATTCAAGATATAATATTGCTTATGAATTCCAAATGTGTTACTTCAATAGTTTGCGTATATCCACAAAAACAAGCTACAACAACACTACCACAGCTGTCTGCCCGGTGCAATCCGTGCTTTTCGTTAGCCAATGATCATTCAGTCCAATTAATAAGAAGACACGGTTTAGGAGATTAGCAACATGAACTTTACGTATAATAGAATTTGCCGCTGGAAGCAAAGGGGCAGAGGGCTTTCCACCTGGACCACTGAACTCAAGCCGCTAATATCTTGACCACACGGTATGTACGTTCGCTTCATTTAAAATGCAGTTTAAAGCATCACTGAATACAATGTCTCTCAATGTTACAGACCCTGCCATTTCTTTGGCAGTGTTTTGTCTATATATTAGCCTATGTGCGGGCACTATGGGAACAGCACACGCCATTGGGAAGTAACACCTCAGGACACTCGAAACACTGGAAAGTGCTTAAATATTCGTTTCCCGCTGCATGGGTTGCTCCTCCTTCTGAGAGTCATCACAGAGGTTATCCATGACCTCAGGGTCACCTTCCGCGTCCCTCTGGTTACCGCCATCAGCGTCCTGGGTCTGCTTCTTTTGTTTGCGCTCTCGGTCCAGCAGTCTGTAGTTAATGGCATTCCCTATGAACAGCCAGATACTGGAAAGGATCACCACGGCTCCACAGCAGAAGTACATGTATTTGTAGTTCTTGGTGATGTCGACCAGCTTGCCTGTTGACAGACCAATCCGAGTGTCAATAAAGACATACATATTACAGCGACAACAAATACAGTGAGATTAATTATGGGCGATTGGGGTCCTATTGCTAGATTCTCTGAGGCCTGACTCATTTATACAGATCAATATAGTTTTGTCCATATTTCTTCATATTCCTAATCTCGAGAAATTTTTCTCTTAATAGTATTGTGTAGCATTTCAATGTATTTTTAAAGGGGTCATATTATGTTTTTCCAGTGTGCCCCTTTCCTCTAGTGTTATATACTTTTATGCGCATGTAAACGGTCTGCAAAGTACTTGACAAAGGCAGTAACTCATCACAGAAACCACTCTTGTCTAACCTGCCTGAAACACCTTGTTGGGTTTCCAGCCCTTACCTTTGTGACATGGTGAGGTCACCTTGTAACACAATCCATATTGCCAGCCTACCTGCAATGATCTGTCTACAGACTACAAGATAGGGGGCGGAACCTGTAGGGCAATCTGACCAATCAGGCAAGATAACCGATCAGAGCACACTGGACTCATCGGGGGTGGGGCTTAGAGCTCTAATAGAGCATTTCAGACAGAGATACAGGGTGAATAGTGATGTACAGTATGAGAAAAATAATGTTTTTGAAACATTGAAGCATGTAAATCTATTCAACTAGACCTCAAAAATTAAATTATAAACAGTAAAAATGAACATAATAAGGCCCCTTTAAGAAAATGAGCAAGATAAATAACTAAAGACTTATTTGTACTATAGTATGTACATAATACTTAATGCATGTGTAATAAATACAATTATCACATTCCAAAACCTTCACTTATCAATTAAGTGAAATTATTAGATAAATTACTCACGATGCAAACCGAAACAAATGCATACCATAACTTCATTCCTTACCTGCCAGTGGTGGGCCTATGAGGACAGGGCAGCACTCGACAATGGTGACCAGGCCAACGGCACTTGAGAACCGCTGAGCACCAACGAGGTCCATCAATGTTTCAAAGAGGACTGAACTGACCATCCCGAAAGCAAAACCAAAGAACACTGCGTACACAACTAGGCCACTGTAGTCATTCACAAATGGGCAAAGTATATGGCAAATCCCATTATACAGTATAGCAAAGCTGAAAAAATACTGAATCTTTGGTCGAATCCATTTGGTGTTTGCCAGCAGTCCCATAGATGGCCTAGCAAACATGTCCACAAAGGCTAGAATAGACAGCAGGAAAGCTGCTGAGTATTCATCGACACCCATATCTTTAGCATAGGCAGCAAGGAACACAATTGGGGCAAAGAAACCAAGAAACATGATAACATTCCCTGATAAGTAGATAAGGAAGCCCCTGTGTTTGAAAAGCGAGAGGTCAAGATACTTGTTGACTGTCTTCCAGGCGGTCTGTTTCTCTTTCTTCTGCACAGAAGCATCCGTGGCTGAGCTATCCTTTTCCTTTTTGCCAGGGGGCGGCTCCAGCGGCCTCATCAGGGACCCAGCCACACAGCAATTTAGTAGCAAGCCACCTAGAATGAGGAAGCTCCCCCTCCAGCCAAAGGAATTGAAAAGATACTGGTTGAGAGGAGCCAGCGTGCTTAGGAACACGGGACTGCCTGCCATAGCTAGCCCATTGGCTATCGGCCGCTTCTTGAAGAAATATTTCCCAATCATTGTTAGAGCAGGCTGGAGGTTGAAGGCTAGGCCCAAACCTAGAAGAGGAAAGAGCATATATGGGCAGTATAACATGCACTCAGAGGCCACTTTAAACCTCACTAGTACTGGGAGAGGACCCCCTTTATAGCAACATCTTCTATAGTCTACACACAGTGTCACCTAGAGGTTGGTTGTTTCTAAAATGCTAGATGCTGAGATGGCACCAATAAACACACTACACTCAAAATTGTTTAAATGACACTCACAACTCACTCTAAATCTTTGATGAACAGTAAATGAACCATTTGACGTTGTCTGTGTGCTTAGTGTCGTAACCACATGATTCTTTCTTGATATAAGCAGTTGAATGTTAGCATTAAGCAAGCAGGTGTACCTAAGAAATTAGCTGCTGAGTGCAGAATATTGATACAACTCATCTAACATCCTGCAGGAAATAATGATTAAATAATAACATGATATTGACCTATCAAGAGATACATGTATTTCTTACTCTTTAAAAGCAATTTTTGTCTAGATATATTGTAATTTATTCACACTTACCTCCAATAACTCCAATGCAAACGTAAAGTTCTACTACCTTGTTGCAGAAAGATGCTGAAATCATTCCAATTGCACAAAGGACTCCACCCATCATCATAATTGGTCTGCAGCCATATGTGTTTACCAATATACTGCTTATGGGACCTGGAATGGCACAAATTACATATTAAAAAGAGAAAGTCACCAAAACAGAATTCATCTATTTATGTATAGGTTTAAGAAAGTCCCATTATTCTTTAATGAACTTAAATATAAACTGAAACCCCATTCCTAGGGCGAGGCTCCCTCAATCAGAAATACTGGTGCAGCGTTCTGTGCTGGTGTTTATTATTGCGTGCGTGTGTGTGTTCGTTCTGTCTTTAATGCTCATATTTCTGCTTATCCTCCTACTACTCCATTCCGCCCATTTCTCTAGACCAGTGTTTCCCAACCTGCTCCTCTGGGACCCCCAGTTGGTCATCTCAGCTCCCTACCAGAGTCTACATTTTCACAAAAACGTGAAACGTCTGCGGGTCCCCGAGGACTGGCTTGGGAAACACTGCCCTAGGCTTGGAGCACTGACAACGTGCAACCTGAATCCTTCCACAATCAACATCAAGTAGGTCATACAATACCATCACCATACCAGCAGACGACTCGAAATCAGCTCAGTGCTACCAATGCAACACTCAGGTTTTTAATAACAGAAACAGTTTTTAAAGAAGTTTCTACAGCCTAGCAAATCTTCACACTAGTAGGTATCCTGCTGACGTCAGTTCCCCACCCCGTTACCAGTTTTTCTGGTCTCTGATGTTCATAGGGCAAATTAACAACATACGCTACAGCTGCAATACCTCTAAACTCTTGGCCAATATGGGCAAAGTACTTCCTACAGCTACTTATTTTTTATACCTTCTTATAATAGCAAACTCATGTGAACAGCATCAAAGCGATTCGAAATGCTATTGTTATACATAATATCACAGCTGTAAAAGAACTAGATTTGAATGTTATCAGATGAATAGGACCGCTGAGTTGAGATTAGGCCTGGATGGTATCAATTTTTCATACAGTCATATGCGACTAGGTTTTTCTTCCAGAGGGTGCAAGATGAGTACATTTATTCATATTAATAAATGTGTAAGTAAGTAAACAAATAAATAAAAATAATAAACCCTGGTAAAAATCACCCATGCATACCACCATACGCCTGGATATTATACCGCATAATTTTCAAAAGCAATGCTATTTCTGTATTCTGAAATATTGCTAATAAAATTCACGGAAAGGGAAGGGGGTGTCCCACATGATAGAATTTCATGAAACAGCACATTTTACTGTCGGAGACCACCCGCCCCAAACATCCAAAATACCAAGTATTACTGTATTACCACAATACCGCCCAAGTCTAGTTGTGATCATCAAGCTAAAAGCTAAAACAGTTTTACTAAAGCATTTTTACTGTATCACAGGAAACAAAACTTTGCAGTAGGGCTGCACGATATTGGGAATAAATCACATTGCAATATTTATTCTTTCTGCGATATTGGGATTTTAAAAATTCTAATTAGTTCAATAGCTCTATTGCAGGGGTATTCAACTAAAATTTAAAGAGGTCCAGTTAGAGAAAATTTCTTGAAGCAAAGGTCCGGAAGATCATTGTCTCCCTGTCGGCCCCTGGAGGATGGGCTCCCCCTTTGAGTCTGGTCCCTCCCAAGGTTTCTTCCTTCTAGGGAGTTTTTCCTTGCCACTGTCGCCTATGGCTTACTCACTGGGGGCTTTGGGTGCGGATGCTGTAAAGCGCTTTGAGACGATGTAATGTTGTGATAATGCGCTATACAAAAATAAATCTGTTGTTGTTGTTGTTGTTATCATAATGTCTAACTATTTAGTGTGATGTATATTTAAGTAGCATATCAGTTGTATCAACATTGCATGTAATCAGTACCTGACTGTCAAATCAAATTAATTCAGTGCAATTCAATTCGAGATGTCTGCACACACATGTAACAGTTCTTACCTTGTAAATAGTATGCTTTTGTATTTAACCATGTAAACACACTTTTGACATAGCTCATTTTAGGTTTATAATGGAATAATATAGATTTCCTGTAAGATTTCCTGCGCAAGTCTGAAATCATGAGTGGCGTGCCAGATGCTGAAAACGTACAATTTTTGTTTCACCTGAGTTGATCTATATAACAGATAATATTACTTTATACATATGTTAAAAAGCGGAAACTTCCACACACATGAAATCACCAATAAACTATGTCTATTTATCCAACATGTTATATAATACATACTGTATTTGAAAACTTTTCAGCTATATGATTTCAGGACAGACCAGCCACTCTCTTAGGAACATTACGACTTTTTGGTTGCTTTGCTGCTGTTATTAACACTAATGGCACATTAGCGCAGACAAAGGGCTGCATACGCCGAACTACACTTCGCAGTTAAAGGCGTTTCACGTGCATTGGTGTGGGAAGCGGCAGTTCTAGTGCTAAACCACTACCGAAAAGACTACAAAAGCTGTGCCGGTTAAAATAGAAGGGCCCCATCAGGTTTTAAATCATAACTTTCTGTTTTGGCTATCGGTCCAGGTCCGTATGGGACAGCTTATGGGTCCAGGTCCGGCACGGTCCGCCTGTTAGTGACCGCTGCTCTATTGGTATAATTAATCATTCTAGAAAGATTGACCTGATTTAGCCGAAATATAATGGTAATGATAACTTAATCAGTACTAAACAGAGCATGAGCATTAAACTATGGAAGCTTATCGCATATGAGAGTTAACATGAGTGACAAAATAACGCTGGGTTAAATGGTTAGAATGCTTGTGCTTGGTGGTTCGTTCTGTGATCGACATGTTTGTTAGCTGCCGGTGCAAAGCTGCATGTCGACTCCGTATCCAAAAACCTTTAAATTGATTTAAATTATGTTAGACAGACTTTTGTGGATTGTTTAAGAATAAGAACAATGTGACATTTGTTAGTTCAGCAAAAACACCAAAAGCGTTGTCCACGCCGCTTAATTTAATTTGCGTTACTTAACATCGCACATCCTGCGATGTGACTATTGCACATGCGTACATCGCGATGACGATGCTGAAACGATATATCGTGCAGCCCTACTTTGCAGTTTTTGCAATTTTAAAGAATGTTCCTTTTCAACTATATCTAGTATATGTCAAAAATCATAAAGTTTACTGCCACTGCTTTTGCATGAGCTCAGCATGTGCTCTCCAAGCCAACCATGATCATTTCCACCTCTGCTGCTTGACACAGTCATAAACAGTGTGCCATATTTGCGAGAAAGTTAACAAAAATGAAAGAGGACGAAAAAATCAAATATGAACTGGTCACAAAAAGACATTCGTATTTCACTATATGGAAATATTTTGGATTACACAGACAATGACTTCAGAGGGAGTTTGATATGGGGAAGATGCAACTTAATAAACGAATGAATCAAACTTAAAATACTGGGGGATACATGTCCCACCGTTTCGCCCTGCTCCTATGCCCCTGTCCACAAAGACAATATTCAGCAAAAGCAACTGATATATTGGCACTACTTTGCATCTGATGGCCTAATTCAAGGCAATACTACCAACCTATTTGACTGACTCTCATGGTAGATAAGTTCTATTTGGCTAGAGTTTATATTGGGTAAATTTTCAACTCCTTTTTTGCTTTATAAATATTGTAATGTACATGCGGCACAAAAATACTTAAAACTGAAGTTTTAATCACTTTCCACTACATAGAGTACAACTAATTTCTGATATTGCATAAATTTATTTTATACATGTGTTTAGCAGATATTTTTGTCCAAAGCAACATACAAGTGACGATCAGGGAGAAGGCCTCGACAGTTGGGATTAAGAGCCCTGTTCAAGGGCCCAACAGTGACATCACCCTGCCACCTGAGGGTTTTGACCCAGCAACCTTCTGATCACACGCACAAAGCCATAACTCCCGAAATGGCACACTGCCTAACAAAGCACGATATAACAGTTATTGCATAAAAATTACTATTTATTTTTGCAAGTATTGACCCATGACATATTTTTTCAATCTAAGAAAAAAAATAGTTGCTATTTAGATGCTAGCGTAAAATTAACTTGCATAATGGAAATTTGAAAAAAAAAAACAACTAAATAAAGCAATATGTGTAGGCGGAAATTGTATGCAAGAATGAATTAATTTGTTAGTTAATCCTTCAAGTTCCATCACATATTAATGTTCCCTGTGAGTTTGAACATTTACTCATACGCTTGTCCCATCCCTATGAGCCACACACCTAGACAATGCCATTAAGGCAGAGATTCAATGCAATGCAAGAGGCACTACTATACTGAAACAATACCTCGCTTCCTTACTGTCCCTTAAGCACTTTGCAATTACATCTACTCCACGCTTTTTTCCAAATCTGAAATCAATAAGTGAAGTTCTGTAGTTGAGTTCAAAAAGCCATTCTGATGTGGAAGAGGTTGTTAATGAAATATTTACCTTCTGTCAGACGTTTGGCTAAAGTAAGAGATAGAGACAGTACTAAAGGTTTGCTGATCTAATGTAGACCTTGAACTCAATGTTTTCATGTTTTGGTTGGGTTACGTCATGTGTCCACTGCAAACACGTGACAAACCTACAATGCGCCAGAAAGTTGCACAAATCTCAGGAGAGATGGACTGCCAGATCAGGCCTGGATAAGGCGTGTATAGTAAAGCTGCCATCTAGCTAAACAAGATATAAAACTATTGTGTCCATGGCATACAGTGTCATTGTACTGAACTGATTTATCATAATCCCTTCCTTTGACAGGCTTGCTTGCCGAACTCTCATGGTATCAACTCTTAAAATAAGCCTACATATGGCAGCAAGCCATGATAGAACGAGATTACTGACATGTAATTTTTGCCCTTGACAAAGGAAGTGGGCCCGGTGACCTGGTTAACACAGTGCTACATTGCCGTTGTACTTTAGCAGTGCTAGCAGTGAACGGTAAGCCTGTTGAGGCCTGTGTATACTGAATACAGAAGGGAGGAGGTTGAGTCTGCCCCAGGTGTCTTTGCCACATCATGCATTTTCTGCCTGCCAGATCGGTGATTCTGTTGGGCGTGACCAATTAGAGGTGAAGGAGTCACCCTCAACAGCAGGCCAAGAGCATTATAACCACAGAAACTCACACAAGCCATCCACTCACAAGCTAAGATGATGTATGCAGCATGCATGTCTGGTGACACCAGAGTTGCCAACTCTCACACATCCAGTGTTGCATTCACGCTTTCTAACTCTCATGCTCACGCAAAAAAATCTTACTGCAAATCTATATTTTTGCATTATAAACCAAAAATTAGCTACAAGAAAAGCATTGGGGTAGTTTGCAAACCCTACAGACTATTTACGATGATTTAAATGGTTATGTACATCTAAATGAGTGTGCAGACTTGTCTCGAATTGAGAATCTCACACCAGCCAGCTGACCAAAGTTGGCAACTTTGGCTGACACGAGGACTACCGCTGGTGTAGCTATTCGAGGTTACCCCAACCCATGTGATGTCGGAACACGCTGCGTGAAATGGTGAGGCATCTGTGTTTTACAGTATAATCACAAAATGAAGAAAAAAAATTGCTATGTAAGAAGAAATGCAAGCAGGCAAATTACATGAATCAGAAAACACCTCCTCGAACTAGATGGTTTGCAGCTCTGGATATACCGCTATCAAACAAAAGACAAATATGTAACTACTTGCGACGCACGTTATTGGCTTTCTGCAGCACTTTATATTTCTGTGACACAGCCAGTGTACCTGACCAAGCCAATGTCAGCCTGATATTTGTGACTGTACTGCATTGGCCATGATGAACCACAGGCTCAGAGTGCCAAGCTGTAGCTTTAAATACTCTGAAGAAAACCATAGAAAAAAAAAAAACAGGTATAAAGAAAAACTTTCACCAAGAGAAATTCTCCACCAGCATGTGGACAAGTGTGGCCACAGGCAGTAAAACAATGATTGTTGGGCAAGGCAGGTAGCATAGCAATTAGCAACATGGAGGCTGCTGGTTCAAGTGCCAAAAAGAACTTTCTGTATCACCACTGAGAATTTCTCAGACAAAATGGGAGTTTTTAAATTTCCTATTAAAAAGTAGCATTTAGGTGTGACATCAAGGCCTTAAAGAACTTGTTTATCACAGAAATAGATTGTTTACTATATCGTGTGTGCTAGTGCTCTTTTATATTTTATTATACACACACAACTCATACATTAAACTGTGAGTGATTAGGTGTCAGAAGCAAATCAACTGTTTACCATCACAATGAAAGCTCATTTCTGAACCAGTACAAAATACAGCCAGTGAGAGACTGGTCCTTCCCAAATTGTACAGCACACACACATACTTTTTATTACTACTAAGTTTCTACTTAACAAAAAGCTTTATAACTTAATACATGTTCATTTGAATCAGTGTGGGTAATTGCAGATGTAAATACCATCAATGTGACAAAGGTCACTGCTTAATGGTCTCCAAATGGGTATACAACAGCTTCCAAAACTAAATGAGAAGACAAACATCCCTTGTCTGATAACAAAACTGCTTATTTAGCCTGATTAGGACTTCACTGCTTGTTTAAGAATAAGAACCTAGATGACCTTGACTGTCAGTGTCCTGGCTTAACCACTGTTGAACCCCCCAACCCCAGCAAAGGCAAAGCAGTAAACGGCTACCATGTGAAACGTTTCATGTGCTGGACACCTAGGCCTAAAGAAGTAGGTTTACACAAGAAAAGTGGACTTACCTCCTGCATACATCACTGCAAGCATTATGGAAGATATCCAGGCTACCTGACTGTATGAGGCATCAAAGATGTTCTGGATATCTTTGAAGAAAACGGTGGTGGCCTTGGGGAAGGCATAGGAAAAGCCGATGGAGATGAAGGCTCCAAAGACCACGGCCCAGCCCCAATCTCCATCAGGTGGAGTGACAGCAGGAGGACCTCCAACAGCAGGTGGCATTTTTAATGGGGTCAAACGGATCCCTTACTGCCAGCAACCAAAGAAGAAAAAGAGGCAAATAATTAATGCACACAGTGTAACCTGGATTTTTACCTATAGCCAACCAATAGCAAGAGACAAGGGTTCAATGACTAATAGCAAACAGCTTTTTCCAGTGGTGTGACAGAGCTCCTTCTACCTGTACAACTGGAAGGATTGGTGTGATATGAAAAGCAAAGCAAAGGAAGGATTTTGAGGCCATTGTAATTAACAGTTTCTGAGTCTGAACAATGAAGAAAAGTAAGGTTGTCGCTCAATTAAATTTAAGTTACTTATGATTAAATTGTTTAAGGCCACACATTTTGCTGAAGAGTCACGGAGAAGTAACCAAAGCCTGTTAAGGAAAGAAGGTTGCATTTATTTAAATTAATTGTAGAATCACTCCCATGTTTATGTTATCTATTGATGATCCCTGGAACACCTTACATTTTTGGAGCTTTTTTGAGAATGACATCATCTGTACTTATATTACTTACAATAACACATACACACATTTACACATGCATTGAACAAGCATTACTGCAATAATAATTACATAATTACAGGATTACAATTAGAACTTGATGACCCCATTGACAGTCAGGTAAAAAGTTTTGACCATATTTTCACGTCATTATTTTTTTAAAACCAGTTATAAACCATGTATGTTGATACAAGACCAAACACTTAACACTTTAGTTGGTATTTAGCTGGTAAACAGAAGCCCTGTTTTTGCAGCCTGTGAGGCAGTTATCACATCTCACATAGAACCTACTTATCTTAGTGCTCCGACACTGTGACTTACTGATTGCAGACTGTCGTACCCTTGAGAAATGCAGTTTCAGTAACTTCAGTAACTGAAGTTCAGTAACTTCTTGCTGCAGTATGCAAATATATAAAGGGGCGTATGGTAAAGGCTTTGCCTTTTTAACTTTGATACTGACCACTAAACAAATATCATGCTAAGGCTTTTGGGGAGTCACATTGAGTACTTTGCTCAAGGACGCCTTGCCGCTTTATCCCATCAATTATTTAAACTCTTGATTCCTCTGTAACATGACAGAATGCCGGATATATGGCTTAGAGGGGCAATAAATCACCCAAGTTACAGTTTCCTAAAATATAACGGATTTTTCGCAGTTTTCCGGTAACTATCCAGCTGACCTTGCCACATGGAAATGAGAAGCTGAATGAAAGCATTTGACGATCTAATAAGTGGGAAAAACACAGATGAAAACACGAGTCGTATTTACGAACCGAACAAGCCTTAAATTTAAATTGCATGTAAAATAAACATTGCAGTATTAAGTCCTTTGTAATGTAAATAAATCAATCAGGGTAAAACAATGGTTAAAAAAGCAGAACAAAGTATCAGTATACTTACAACTTCTATATTTAAGAGCTTCCCCATGTGTATGTCACAGCAATGATGCACTAACATGCTACATAATCATTTATGGTTTCTAAATTCAATTGAATATTTAATATAGTATATTTGTTATATATCTACATAGACACAAACTAAGTGAAGTATATATGCACCTGTAGTAGCACCCAGGGAGGGGTTAAGGGCCTTGCTCAAGAACCAGCAGATGTGCTGATGCATTGAACCAATGACCTTCTGATTACAATCACACAGGCTTAGCCCACTGAGCCACACGCTGCTCCCAATATACTGCTATAAAGTAACATATCACAGTCAAAATGTGTTTTCACACTGGATGTTTAGTATAATAGGAAGGGAACAAAGAATGTCTTTCTGACAATTAACTGCCACAATGCATCAAATAAAATGTGTTTAAAATTAAGCAATATAAACAAATACAAAATTGGAGGCTTAATTTTATTCTCTTGGATTTATAAATACTTTCCATATCATGTTCCGTGAAAGGCAGGGAGCTTTTTGACTAAATGGTATTTAAACAGCTTTTTTGAGATGTTATTTCTAGTTAACACTAAGTATTTCAGAGGGGAGAAAGTGAGAATTCCCAGTCTCCAAAACTGAAAACATTACATCAGTTGTCCATATTCCATCATTTACTTGTATTAATACTCTATCTAGATTCCTAACAGGCCTTCATAGAAAATGCATTTTCAAGACAGTAATTTAGGTAGTGTAGATGCAATGTTTTGAAGGGGATCTTTCTATAAAAAAAGCAAGGAGAACCCTTCGTTAAAAAAAAGTACACACTGACAGGGGTCTTGGATGACCGTTCTCATGATCCCATTGGGTCAGAATTGGATTACATGCTGCTTCACTCAATGTAAAACAAGGCAGCATCAGTAGTAAAGGAGACATTCAGACTGCGTTGCACATTTGCAATTTATCACCTTTACATTAACGATTTGTCAGCAAGTTATTAAGCAGGGAATGGTTAATTTTACACTTTATTAATCATCAAGGCAAGCAAAAAATAAAAGTTCTTTTGTTTTTAAATATTTAAATTTGATGCAATGTCTTCCTGGAATGTGGTATTTCCTGAGGGGCAAAAGATATCCTGGCTGGGACACCATTCCATTACTGGTCACACATTAAAGGTAATTTAGAGACACCAGTTCACTTAAGTGCATGTTTTTAACCATGGGAGGAAACTGGAGCGCCAAGAATACAGTGAGAACGTTCAAGTTCCACACCCAGATCCGGGAATGAAACTTACAAACCAGGAGGTGTGAGAATGAGCACAAACTACCGAGCAACCACAGCACCCAGCATTAAATAATGATTAAATATTTAGACATCAGTATATGACCTTTGGGTGTTGCATGATTTATACTGTGCGTTTGCTGTTCTCTTGCCAAAGTATGCTTCACCTCCATCTTGCAAACAGTTCAATAATATGTGTGCACATAACATGATTTAAATTGAAAGAACTTAACCTTTGGTACAGACATGTACAGTAAACTTACATAGAAATACGTAATGCAGGGGCTGACGCAATCTGTATGGCAGGAATGTTGAGCCGGATACTCCAGATCATCTCATTACATCAAGGGGTGTGTATCTTCTTGCCCAATCAGATGCCAACACAGATATCACCTGCTACTTGTATTGTTTGTTTTTTTCTCAAAAAGCTATGATGTCCTGCTGAATGAGTCTGAAGATCTTTTCTTAAGGGCAAAATAGTGAATCTGGAATCTATAAAATCAAGGCGTGATCAATGGTTTTTGGGACAAATGACAATGACTAGCAGAGCTGAATCAAAATAGGGAGGTCCTGTGTGTGGTTGTGTGTGTGTGTGTGCGTGTGTGTGTGTGTATATATATGTATATATATATGTATATATATATAAATTAAATAAATAAATAAATTCTGAAATGTAGAGAGTGCCTTTCTACGAGTAGGTGTGTCCGAACTTCTGCTTGGTACTGTATGTTGATTTGGTCCTGTGCATTAAACATCCCTTCAAATTTTCCTTTAAAACAACCCGAGAGGGTGACATTCATCTATCCAGTGGTCACGAGCAGCAATGAATCAACGTCTGAGCAAGCAGATGTGAACATGCTGTGTCTGCATAGTGGAGTTTGAAACTAGACATGGAAGTGACTTGCAAGGTGTGCTACCATTTGTCACACAGAAAAAAAACCTTCTGCTATGAAGACATGGACCATTCGCTTTTATGTGAAATCTTTTGCCGTTTTTTGATTGTATTCACGGATCTTTGTGGGAACTTGAAAAATGCCCCCCACAACATCAAAATAACATGTTTATGACATTGTGGGGGGCATTTGGTCCCCACAATGTAATAATAAACATAATTCTCTCACACACACACACACACACACACGTAGGGTAAACATATCCTTATGGGGACCGCTCATA